TGGTAATTTTGGTTGTTATTGTTCAATATTTATTGTATTAGAATATTTCCCTAGATCTACCAACTGAATATTTAAATTAAAATATAACACTTATCTGCATGAATAAAGAAAAGATAAAAACAATGGATATCAAGCAAATGGGTAACATAAACATCAAAAAAAAAAGTTGGAAACCTAATCACAATTGTACCTCTAGTTTCAATTCCTTGAGAAACAGCAATTTAAATGTTTTTATTAATAAGTATTATAGAATAAAGGGCTTGGTGCATGAATTACAATTACTTTGATTATTTATTTATTTATTTATTTATTTAATGTGATGCAGTTAACCGCTAATCAAACAGACTTTCTTGTATGTTAGTATGTAATATCTTTCTGGTATCAGATTGTTTCTAAGAACAATAATAACCAGCAATGATAGCATATGAAGTTCTAGTTGAAGGAGAATGGAGCACTCGATAATTGATTAAAGACATCCTTCAACCCTTGAAAGAGTTGACAAATAAAATCACAACGAGTTTTATGGCCCCAAAAGGAAAACAAGTCTAAAAGAAATTCTGGAGGAAAGGTTTAACTATTCATACACAGTTTGAGCAGGTCATGACATTTTACTCATCATTAAGCCTTGGCACTGTAGTAAATAAAACTACAGGGGATTATATCTCAGCTGTCAGTAATACACCATATGATTGTAGTTGTTGCAAGGCAGTAACTAGATCCCAAAAGTACGATTATAGGGTGCTGTGTTGTTCATTATCAGGACTCTGCAATGATGTTTGTAGAGATGATGCCATGTGATGCTTACTTCTCTTTAACTCTATTTAATGTCTGTAATTATTGATATATGCATTTATTACCAAAAAGTTAGCATTAAGTATAAATAGCATTAATAAAGACAACTTTTTATGTTTACTGCTATTAATACAGCATGATACCGGTAAAGCAAAGCTCTGTATAAAACTAGATTTATTTGGAAACTCAATATTTCCATTCCCATTTCTGTGCTTTAACCCAGCTGGCAGCTATGCACCACACAGCCATTTTGCTCACCTTATCCTCCCAGTGGGATGGGGAAACTGGGAAAAAAATGTGTGTTGATATGAAGATGGTTTAGTGGGAGAGAAGGAGAAGGAGAAGGAGAAGGAGAAGGAGAAGGAGAAGGAGAAGGAGAAGGAGAAGGAGAAGGAGAAGGAGAAGGAGAAGGAGAAGGAGAAGGAGAAGGAGAAGGAGAAGGAGAAGGAGAAGGAGAAGGAGAAGGAGAAGGAGAAGGAGAAGGAGAAGGAGAAGGAGAAAACAAGTGATGCACAATGAAATTGCTCACCACCTGCTGACTGATGCCCAGACTGTCTGTGAGCAGCTGGTGCCCCCGCCCTGGCTGCCCCCCCCCATAGTAATAGCTCTGCATGACGTCAGATGATATGGAATATCCCTTTGGCTAGTCTGGGTCAGATGTCCTCATTCTGTTCCCTCCCAGCTCCTCATGCACCCCCAGACTCCTCACTGGTGGGGCAGTTTGAGAAGCTGAAAAGTCCTTGACTTAGTGTAAGCACTGCTGTGCAACAACTAAAACATCAGTGTGCTATCAATGTTATTCTCATCCTAAATCCAAAACACAGTGCCATACCAGCTACTAGGAGGAAAATTAACTCTATCCTAACCAAAACAAAAAAGAGAGATTAACCTAACCAAAAAGAGAGTTTACGATAACTTTGTAACAGACTAAATTAAGGGAATCTATGGTCAAATCATGGCAGCTTAAGGTGTTCTGTGCATCATCAGAGGAATGATTACTGCATATGTGTAGTTTTAGTTATGGCAAAATAAAGTTTAATTAGGAGTTCATTCATATGAAAAACAAAAAAAACGACATTAGCTCATTGCTGTTAGACTGTTATATCTCTTAGTTACAAGTATGTGCACATATATTTACCATCAGTCAGCTTGCCTGCAGGAACACATTAAACCAAGATAACATGATGGTGGTATCTTGGGCTTAAACCAGATACCTCATCTGTTCAGTTTTATGAAACTTGCCAGTCTTGAGACAAGTGTCTCAAGAGTGTGTGGTATTATTTTCAAACACTTACTGCAAAGAGCGCCACCACATCTACATAACTCGAGGAAAAAAAAAAAAAGTTATTTAATAGGTATTAAGTCAAAGGAAATTTTGAAGCAATGTATTTTGCAATTTGAGCCTATAATATACACAGAGGTAAAACTTGCTATTTCTACATTCAAATATTAGAAAGAAATACATTGAGGTGAACACACATACAAAACACAAAGTGGAGCTATAATTTCATGCCTCACTGTAGTTATTTACCTGGAGTGTGGTAAGGAGTTTGCTGCTTTGCAAACTCAAGGGGAACCGGGACTCTGAATGTGGTGTCCTTTCAGCAATGCCTGAAGTGTGTAGAAACATTTGTAAGACTGCCACAGCTTTTAAAGGCCCAAAATCAAGGAGTGGGTTACTGAGACTCACTTGGGAAACAATAAGCAGGATGATGCATTTGCTAATCAAAGACAACCCTAGGTGAATTCAAGAGAATCCTGTGAAAGAAATGATCATCGCTAATAGCCAGGTCACCCCCTGGGCTCCTTGTATGGGACTGAGAAGCAAAACTCAGGGGCAAAATTGTGCAGAGAGGCAAAATAAGGTCACATGGCCTGCAGGAGGAGGCTGAACTTGATATGGGAGACAGGAGTAAGGTGACAGAGGTCTTGGGTTTTGTTATGGCCTGGAAAGAGAAAAGCAGGGCTTCTGCAGGAAGTAGCAAGGTTTGGAGAAGACGAGAGGGAGATAACCTTTCTTTCACAGCTTTGTTTAGATTTGGAGGTGGTCCTAATGTTGATCTTGAAGCCATTTTGGTCTGCAAAGCAGTTTGTTTTTCCCAGGCCCTTCTCTTTCCCTGGATTGCCTTTTAGAAGACAATGTGAAGCAAAAACAAACAGTAATTAAGTTCAGGTAACACTAAATGTCTGACCCGAATTCACAAACACAAGGGGTCTTTCAAGATGAGGCTGGAAACTTCATCCCTAAGTCAATTGTCTCAGTATTGTTGCAAACTTCAAGCTGAGATCATCTAACACACTGAAACCACGGGTAATTGTATAAAGAAAACAAGGTACCCTGAGGATGGTGTTTGAACTTTAACTGTGTACATTCTGGCTTTTGTTGGCTTAAAAGAATACTGCTACCTATGCTTATTGCAAGGTCCTGAAACAATTGATTATAATATAAACTTTGCTTTGTTAACAAACTGTAATACTCAGTCCTGAGAACTAAAAAGCACCAACTTTCAGGTGTTAACAGTTCAAAAGAAAAAAAAAAAAGGCAGATAGATCTTAAAAGGTGAGTTTATATTGATCTATTTACTGTAATTTGCATATATATAATGCAGGGGGATTTTTCTTTATGCTACAGGAAACAAGGAGTTTACATCAAAGAGCTCTGAAAGGTGTTCTGTAAGTTCACAGAGTAAGAAGCCCCTTTGGTCTAGATATCTGGATAGAAATCTCATGAAAACAGGCTCTTCCATAATGTTTCCAGTCATTTCTAATCCTAGCTGGCTCAGAAACATCAGAGTGATAACATTTCTCAAGTTATTTCAGTAGTCCTGGTTTTGGTCAAAGCCAGGAAGTATGTAAACTTCACAAACAGAAGCCTAAGAGCCTCAGAAGAAAGGCTTAGTTCAGATTTAGTTCAAGCATGGGTAAAAATTTAGAGCAATTCTCCTTTTATAATATTAATAAAAATGCTTTGTACTCCCATTCCAGAATCATGTACCCCAAGGCCTAGTCTGTACTTCAATTTTTAAACTATGCAATTCTGCAAACACAGAGTTTCTTGCTGCCACGGTTAAAGCTTTTTAAGCTGCTCTACCTATATGAGGCATTTTGTGCTACTATGGATTATCCTGATTCACTGAACCAAAATAAACCTCCATTTGGAGTATGCTGGTTTGGCTATAGAAGGGAAATATTTCAACATATACATGACTTTCTACCAGAAGGAAAACAATGTGCTTTTCTCACACCATGCTGCTCAGTGACCCTTTCTCCATTGCCAGGGGTGCAGGCAGTGTTGCATTGTGCATCCTTCTCTCCTTGCTGCACATACAATGTCAGTGACAGACTACAAAGAGCATCTTGTGCACATCCCTCTGATTACATTTTTTTGATGTTATCCTTTGTTCATGCCTAAACTGGGAGTTTTTTGAATGTAATTCACTCTTCGTTATTTCATAGCTTACTTTTAATCATCTTAGGCTTGCCTGAAGCTTTGAAATCAATCCACTTGCTTCACACTGGGGCTTGTGAACACCTAAGCCTTGAGACTGGCATTCTGCATTAAATGATCAATTAACTCTCCTTTTCTTGCCTAAGCAGAGTGTGGAGATCTGTATGGCAGATGCAGTGACATCCAGTAGCAGCCATGTTAAAACATTGAGAATGTTGGTTTTCTTCTTTTGCGTAACATGTTGTGACTTAATTTAGTAGTGACATGACTACTATGGAAATGAGCATGACCAACCCACATCAATCTAAGTCAAGATAGTAGATAATTGCTTATACCAAGTAATCATGACAATTTGTGCTTTACAAGTTTCCCATGTACTTTAGAAGAAGCAAATTGCAGTCCAGTCTGCAGCTCAGTGTTGAATTTGCCAGTAGAGTTATCAGTCCGAAGAAAACTCAGATGTTGCCAAACAGTACTACTCAGTAGTATTGTTTGTCTAGCCTCGAGAATAGCCTAGTCTTGAGTATAAATGACAAAACTTTGCCAGGAGGAAGAATACCACACAAGCCACAAGACACAAATATTATGAAACCCCAAAGGTTCATTTGAAGTCCCTTCATTAAAGTGTAGAGATAAGAAAGTATTACGAAGGAGAAACACAGCTGGTCTGTGACTAGAGAACAGCTGCAGAAACTCTTCCCTTAAGAAAATAAATAAATAAATAAATAAATAAATAAATAAATAAATAAATAAAAATCACCTTAAATTGCTGTTGGCTTCAGCAGGATGAAGGTCTAATGGAGCAGACCATTCAACGTGGTCCTTCTAGCCCATCACAACACTTCTCCATGTTTCATCCTCCAAGTCACTCAGATACATGTCACAAAGACAGAAGGTTTTTTGTGAAACAGAAGTACTTAAAATTTGCAAATCATTTTGTGATCTGTGGATGAAAAATGCAAAACATTATTGCTAATGACATGAATCTCTAGTTCCTCAGATATTGTCCAGAAACCTTATGAACTGCTGGTGAGAGAACCTTTCCTTTCTTCAAGTCAAACCGCATCCTGTACTTCAAAACACACCCTATATATCTGAGTAACAGACTGAGTAAAACTCGCAAAAAATCTTAACACAGGGAAAAAATAATAATTAGGATAGCTCTAAATGCAGCTTAATGAAATAAAAATATGCTTGGATACCTTCATTCAATTCTATTTACAATTAATATACTTGGTACATGGATGTTTCTCCCCACTTAAAGTAGAAGTGTTCCTACCCAAGTAGGCCTTGGGTTTATTATAAATGTATGACCCTATTAGATTCATCTGATTCTTGCAAGGTCAAGGACTCAGAATGAAGAAATAGAAGCCAAAGTTTGGGAGCTACCAGCCATATGCAATTAAGAGGATCTGAACCTAATAAAGGAAGAGATCTGAAAGCAAATTTTTCCAGGGGCAGTTTGCTTTTAAAGTATTAAGCATGAGGGTAGATTTTTTTCTTTTCTTTTCTTTTCTTTTCTTTTCTTTTCTTTTCTTTTCTTTTCTTTTCTTTTCTTTTCTTTTCTTTTCTTTTCTTTTCTTTTCTTTTCTTTTCTTTTCTTTTCTTTTCTTTTCTTTTCTTTTCTTTTCTTTCTTTTCTTTTCTTTTCTTTTCTTTCTTTTCTTTCTTTTCTTTCTTTCTTTTCTTTCTTCTCTTCTCTTCTTCTCTTCTCTTCTCTTCTTCTCTTCTTCTTCTTCTCTTCTCTTCTCTTCTCTTCTCTTCTCTTCTCTTCTCTTCTCTTCTCTTCTCTTCTCTTCTCTTCTTTCTCATTTTCCTTTCCTTTCCTTTCCTTTCCTTTCCTTTCCTTTCCTTTCCTTTCCTTTCCTTTCCTTTCCTTTCCTTTCCTTTCCTTTCCTTTCCTTCCTTTCCTTTCCTTTTTCCTTTCCTTTCCTTTCCTTTCCTTTCCTTTCCTTTCCTTTCCTTTCTTTCCTTTCCTTTCCTTTCCTTTCCTTTCCTTTCCTTTCCTTTCCTTTCCTTTCCTTTCCTTTCCCACCTAGATAAAATTTAACCGATAACTACATTTCTATAGCATGTGCTTGAACTTCAGTCACATATTTGTAGTCTCAAAAAAAATAATCAAGAGAAAGAAACACAATCCCATTCCCCCCCTGAGATACCTGGCCTGTCCTCAGAAGTCAAAAGAGACCTCAAGGAAGACAGCCATCCTTGAGCTCTAGCTGTCCCCTGAGGCAGCTGGCTGACTCCACAGCTGCCCTGGTCACTGTTGGTGCTTACAGCCAAAACCCCATTTGCCATCAGTCCTTCCCTTTGGGCTGCTCTTGGTGGGTGCTTTCTGCTGGCAGTGTCTATGGCTGGCTCTTCCTGCTGACTGGAGTTACTGTAAGCTACCCTGGTAATTGCCCTCAGCTACTTTTTCCAACAAGGTATACTCCTAAGCTGTCTTTCCCACCACCTGTCTGCCGCTTCACCCATTAAGTTTCCAGCTGCTGCTCCAGTTTGTAGCGGAGGCTCTCACAACAACCCCTGCAGTGATCCAATTCTTTTATTAGGATTAGTGATATGCAAAAGCCACAGGCTCCTCAAAGCCTGAGGACACCCTTTGTACAATCATTTTCATCCTCTGAAACTTAAAATCTGTCCAGCATCTTCTCTCTTTTCCACCATATCAGCATAGCTGGAACTAAACCTTCCCCAGTGTGCAAAATGAGACCATGCTTTCTCTCCCTTAAAAACCTGGCTGTTCATAAAAGAAATGCTTTTATATACTGACAAACATGCTCATACATTACTTTTACATAATCCTATTCCATTGGCCTTTTCCACACTTCTGAACAGATACCTACCAGGTGTATCCCCCTCTCAGTGCATCTCTGCAGCCTTCAAATCAACACTTATACCGTAAGTGTCATTGGCAACATTGGTTTTGATGACTTTGGTTTGATTATTATTATATTATTATGTTGTCCTTCTAATGAATTAATAATTTTTAATGCTGTATGATCCTGAAATGAAGAATTTTATATATATGCAAACGTTACCAAACTTAGGCCTCTCTCATTCAGATTACAACTAAAGAGATCCTTCTAAGAAGGATATGCATTTATTTTGCAGAGTCAAAAACAGAGTCACATCACAGGCACAGGTTTCTTCCTTTCCATGGCACAACTCATTAGTGTCTTCCCTTATTTCTGGAAAGAAAAAAAAAGAACAGCAAAACAGAATAGTAGGCAAAATTTAATGTGTACCTTCACAACGAACCTTAAAAAGCTAAATATTTTGTCCAGGCCAAAAAAGGCAACAGAAAGAATTAAAGCTAAACTCTGCCTGACAAGCAGCTAACAGTTTACAGAAAACATGTACATAACTAAACGCTAAGTACTCTGACAGACATAGCAAGAAAAATCAAAACTTATTACAAAATGTTCAAATAAAGAGTCAATAAAAATGTTGAACAGTGTTAGACATGGAACAGCCTGTTAAGGAATTTCCCTAAGGAATATATCCATTTGGTAGCAATTCCCAATCAACAACTACTTTTTGAAATCTGCCAGCTGGCCAGATCTTAATCCATTTAATGTGTGCTATATTGACATTTTAACTACAATGGTGCTAAATTAAATAACTTTGCAGGAATGCAACTTTGCTAAATCTGAACAATTATCTTTATTCGCCAACATCTAATCTTCCCCCCCCCCCCAAAAAAAAAAAAAAAAGAAAATATCTATTTGAATTTCCACTAGTAGAAAATCTATTTTCCACAAAATTGTGTTGATTAGCATAATAATATACCCATTTTATAATTCCTTGTTGATTGGTTTTGTGTGCTTTATCTTTATTTTGCCTGGCAGTGAAAGCTATCTAGTTTAAATTTAAAACTGAAACATTAGGAAAATATAAAACACTCTCCTTTAAAAATGACAGAGTAGGAAAAAGGCATTGCCAGAATCTGTAAGTTCATCTTTACAGAGGATACTCAATGTCAGACTTGGCTACTTTCTGTCTGGGATGGTTTAAGAGTAGTGAAATTAGCAATACTGCAAGAGGGGGGAGGGCAAACCTTTACACACAAAGGGCAGCAGGATCATGAATCATCAAAGTATATTGTACAACTTCCATGTATTACAGTTTCTCAGGAGATTGATTTTATGAATCACTTTCTTTCCCTTTTACATTTTTTTTTCTATTCTTGTTATAAAATTAGCAGTTGTTATTAATATGGTTTAGACTTTTAAGAATTATTTGTTGTTCTTTTTTACGACATATGATTATTTTTTTTTAAACTGATATTTTTTCTGTGCCTGAAGAAAAAAAAAATAGCCTTAAAACGAATTGGTTGTTAATGGCAAATGATCCTTTGTGAGTAGATTCTTCACAAACAGAGCTCCTGAGCAGTGATTGTGTTCTTCCCTGGGGGAATTTTGTAGTGAGTTTGAAGTAAAATAAATCCTGAAAGTGAAAATATCAATGTGGCCTTTTCCCCGAGCACCATTCAATATTTAATTGAATTTAAATTTAAATATTAATTCAAAGCATTCAACACATAATTTAATTGAAATATTTAAATGACAGCTCCAGATTGTAAATATTATGGCTTCGACCTACTGAATTCTATTACAAAAAACAACATTAAAGTAATTTACAGCTTTTGAAAAAGATGCAGAAAAAATGATGGTAGGGAAGATGTTAGAAACTTTGTTATATACAATCCTAATGACTTTTTGAATGAAAGTCACAGAATCACACAGAATTTCTAGGTTGGAAGAGACCTCAAGATCATCGAGTCCAACCTCTGACCTAACACTAACAGTCCCCACTAAACCATATCGCTAAGCTCTACATCTAAACGTCTTTTAAAGACTTCCAGGGATGGTGACTCCACCACTTCCCTGGGCAGCCTGTTCCAATGTCTAACAACAAAGCAATTCCAGCCAATTTCATTTTTTATTTCTTGCTCTCCAACAGATAATCACATCCTTAACACTATAAGATCTTTAACGTTATATAAAAAAATGTATATTAAGGCAGGAGATAATTGTGTTCTTATGAAAATTTTGTGTAGCAGAACAGAAAAATGAACAGAGGATGCCTTCAAAGACAAGTATGTGGAAAAAAAAAAAGAAAGAAAGGAAAGGAGGAAAAGAGCAGAACAACTGGGAGGTGCAACTTTTTATTCTAATACAAAGTTTTTCACTGGTTTGCTGAAGAGTTGGAGGTATAGAACATACTTTTTTTCCAAGATACTTTGAGACCTGACAAATTCAAATTAGGCATTAAGCACATTAAGACTCTTCTGCCCTTCTGTACCTGAATAGGTCATCTCTTACTTTCAGAGTGATGAAGGCATAAATAATGTCAGAATGAATTTCTTTGGGAAAAGTGTGACCAGAGATGTTGTCCAAAGGGATGAAGATCAATTTTTGTTTTCTCTCTCTCTCTTTCTCTCTCTCTTTTCCCTCGATAATAACACTTTTAACAGGTTTTGAAATTGTGACCCATTTCCAGTAAAGAGTGCTTGAGAGAGACAGGTCAGAAAGACTCCAGTTCCTAGAGGATTTTTAGTACTGTGTACAGGAAATATAACAAGAAGAAAAGATCACAGATAAGCAGACTAAATATTTGGAAATTGTTACAGATGACTGAGCACATACGTGTTTTTGTGCTCACGTCTGAACTTGCAAACAGTTTGCAAAGAAGGAGCGTCCAGGGGGCAAAAAGTAGTTTAGCTACACTCAATCTTTCAGAAGAGGATCTCGCTACTGTTCAATGTCAAGGAAAGATACATATTGACTTTCAAGGGAAAATGTCAAGCGACCCCACAGGTATGCAGACAGTGGGAAATCAGCTCAGTTAAAATCTGTCTACAGTCACAGATGGGCAGTTCCAACCTGATTTTTGTGTCTTGGCTCATCTCTCATGGTCCTTCATCCTTGCCTAGGCCCTACATGACCATGGCCTAGCAGTATCCCTTCCTTCTAATCTTCCTTGAGGCTCTTCAGTTTCTGGTTATCTTCTGTCCAGTTCCCATTTCTATCTTGTAAATGGCCCAGAAGGATGAATCTGCCAGGCCTGAAGCATGTCTGAAGGGGAAGACCCCAGGTCTGCCAGGTGGATCAGCAGGTGCAGAAAGATGAGGTGTCTTTTCCAAGGACAATACTGGCCACAAAGTCAGCTCTCTTCTGTCATATTGTCATGATCCACTGAAGATAATTTGCCTGTCATGCAAAAGGAGTTGCACTTAGCAGTGGATCACTGATAAATATCTTAGATTCATAAAAATTTACATGTATGAATAATCTAATATATATCAAATAAATGGTTCATGACATGCTAGCAACATAAAGAAGAACTGTTCCTTTCTTTGAAAACTATTACCATACCCAGATATGATACTGATACTGCTGTTATAAGCATTTAACATGGGAGGTTTCAAGAAACAAAGATTTATGAAAGAAGGCAGTGAATGGGAAACCAGAAAACCTTTACAGTACACATGGTTTGATGTTTAAGAAGTGAATATATATTTATAGTGCTTAAGAATTATCAAGGGAAAATACTCTGGCTTGTTAACACCTAATCAGGGGCTTCACACTGGACTGATAAAATTAAAAGGGGATTTTGCTAAAGCACTGGAAGTTGATAGAGTGTTTTGTTACTGATAGTCTCATTCTTAGGAAGGCTAACAGTGTTTGTATAATCTAATTAGGAGGGAAATTGAGCACAAAACATTATCATGTCTTGAAACAGGGGACTCCAGATGAGTTAGTGGAAATTTTAACAGGCTTGGAAGGAAAATGATGATTAGTAGCACACGTGTGACATGGAAGGTTTGAACTCCTGCATTTAGGAAAGGAGAATTATAAGAAATGATTTAGAAAAACACGTGTAGCTCCCTGGAGCTGCCATTGTTCCCTTTTCTTCAGAAAATACTTCAAGCAGTGTTGATCCAGCGTGAGCAGAGGAAGCAGTGTAAGCAAGTACAGGGAGCAAGCTGAAGCACTGCCATAGTGACAAGTCTTGGAGGAGCCATGCTGCTGCTCACCTTGCCCTGGAAGGGCAGAGTTGGACCCATCCCATGAGCGCTCCTATAGCTGCATCCAGATAGAGCAAAACCTCCAAATGCCCCAGAGTAGGCAGACCACAAGGTCCAGGAAGTCTGCAGGAGACCCAGATCCACAGCAGTGGGACCCTCTCATCTTTCACTGGGAAAAATCCCCTCTCATTGTGTGTAATCACTCAGCCCGCAACTGTGGTGCTAAGGTTACTGTTGACTGACCGCAGGAACTGTAATCACTGCGTCAATCTAACACTTTTTTGATGACTTCAAGGCAACGTGGAGACAAAACTACTTGAAGCTGTGGAAAGCTTTACTCATGTTTTTATGCTGCTGGAGCTTGTCATCCTTGGGTACATACATATGTGTGTGCTTGTGTGTGTACTAATACGTATTGATATTGAAGCCCATCGAAGTTTAGAGGGAGTTTCCTATTTACCAACATTGTTTTTAGCTTAAACCCTGTGGGACTGACATTTACAGGAGCTAGAAACTGGGCAGGGACTCTAGAGATCAAGTTTATGCAACTGTTTTTTCCATTTTCCTCTTGATGACCTAAGTCACCTCTCCCCATGACTCAGTTTTGCCATCTGCAAGGGGGTAATAAGCTTCACTTTCCTTGGAGAAGGATTTCTTTCTGAGGAGGAAAACCTAAAGACAAAAAAAGGTGAGGTGACCTGACTGCTCTTGTTCTGCACTTGGAAGTCAGGCATGAAGGCGAAAATATATGCAGTGAAAGAAGATGGCAAATATAATCCATGTGAGTAAAACGCTTTAGCTTCTGGAGGGGAAGCTGAGCTCTCATAAGAATTTGTTTATTGTTAGCAGACCAATTTCTCATCATCAGCTGCAGAGATTAGTAATCTGCAGCTACCCAGAACAAAAATCTATACTGTCTGCACTCAGCGTGTGTCAGTACCAAACCTCTGTTAATCATTGAGCTAATGAACCCACCATAGCAAAAGCTGATTCCCAGCCTCAGACCCATGCTCAGCGAACATAAAAGTGCAAAACTCTCCTTGTCTCTCCTTCAGGAAGCAGCATGAGATTGAACTAAACTAGGAATAATGCTGGAAAAAGAAGTCTGGGGCCTAATCTAATCAGTGGAAATTCTCCTCACCTCTATAAAGCCAGGTTTTAGTCCTGTACCCAAAAATAATTTTCATGGATTTTCCAGTGTGTATCTGTGTCTTTTAAGAATTAGCCCCAATCAGCTTTCCGTGAGCTGTGGCAGCCAGAAGTGTTCTCATCAGGAGCATTTGTAAGCATCTCCCTCATCACTATGTTGTATGAAACCAGTGCCCATGGCTATTGCATCCATTCCACAGCTATTGCAATCATTCCACAGAGCTATTGACCTCACAAGTGCATTTAAGAACATTTTTTAACCATGGCCAAATCAAGGTTATACGTTCCCTTGTCTGGAGGGTGTTTTGGAAGACAGTACAGCCACATACTTGGAATAAGTAAAGCAAGTGAATCTCACATGTTCAATAAAATTTTCATTGGCTTCTACAGCTACTGGGATGGGGCAGGGAAGAATCTGAAGTCCACTCACATAACCGGAATCAAGGAAGAAGACAAAGGATTAAATAACATCTCAGCTCCCCATGATCTAGTAACAGGAGTTCTTTGGCACATGAGTCTTCCATTAACCACGCTTTTGGAACCAGCCTGATGGTCAGGGAGGGCTTTCTGCTTGCCTGATAGATTTATGATAGGATTTCACTGGCCCTCTGCTCTGTGTTTATCTGGCTCTCTTTTCCAGTTAAGCATTCAAAGCAATACCCTTGGGCTCTGACTGCATGAGAACCAAAACTGCTGAACTGAAACGGCTGAAATTTGCACATCTTGCTTAGGAGTTCATGAATCCTTGGAGATAAGTGAGGAAGTCTTGTCGCTGAACGAGTTTAGATAGGCAAACTGGCCGAAGCATCAAAGTGATTCTCCATGGCTTGCCACTACATGCTGGAATTTGGGGAAAAATAGAAATGGGAATTAAAAGCAGCACAGACAAAGTAACAGTAGGGTTCAGGGAGTGCATGAAGGGAAGGGTGGGCATCAGAGGTGCAAGTCAACAAGGCTGACCTCAGACCGTGCGAGGAAAGATCATTTTGTATGCCAGTAATAAAACAGATGGGGATGTGACGTAACACTGACTTCCCAATACCTCGTTGACTAATAAAATGACCAATACTATAATAATACTTTTCACCACAAAAATCTACAAGTGCCTAAAGACTTCAAAGATGGTAAATTCATTTCATAGACAACAAACATTGAAGAATAAGATAAGAGACCCGTAGCCCAACACTCCTACTTTAGAGTTACACAGTGAATCATTGGGGCATAATGTGAAACATACTCCTTATTTTAATCAGTGGATATTTCTTCTCCACCCACAGTAGGAATAATAATCATTTTGCATTCTTTGTGGTGGTATCACTCATTAGTGAAAGAATATAAAGGAAACATATAGCAGCAAAAGTAACAAGATTTAGCCCTTTTATAAGTATTTGCTCTTGAAACAAATAAACAATATTGAAAAGATACGTATTTGTTTTTCTTGGTATAAGGCTTTACACTATTTTTTTTTTCTTTAAAAAATAAAAAAAAGGAAAGCAAAGCTCATTAAAAAAAAAAAAAGAAGAAGAAAAGATTACAGTTTTCCCTGCCCTGCAGCCACTGATGTAAACCACATTAAATGTTACAAAATTGCCTAATGTTGAGATGTGAATGGTGATCATAGCTGTGTTGGTTGTTTTAAGGAACCAGGCCCACAACTTTGATTTGGTTTCACTGAATCAGTCAAATCCAAACACAAATTCAACCTTTGTTGTTTTATTTTGGAAGTGTGGCTCTGGAAGTCACCCCAATAACTTTGCCTATTCATTCATTTGGTTGTTATGAATGTAAATCAGAGATCTGGAGTACTGATTACACAGTGATTTTTCAAAATTATTCCGACCAGAATACTCTTAGAATACTTTTTTTTTTTTTTTTTTTTTTTTTTTTTTCCTACTGTGGGTATTTGTGTGATTTTATGTAGTCTGATGTCATTTGGGATAGGTCAGGTCATCCTGAATTTGCCTCTAAGTGAATCAACATAAAATTACGGAGAGATTAAAGTCCATATTTTCATATCTTTCCATGTGTATATTATTTAGATAAATATCACCAAAGTACAAACAGGTTCTACAGAAATATAACATCCAAGATTTTACTAGAAATGGAAGCTGTGATTTTTAACGGCCTGGCTTAGTTTTACAGAAAATTGTGAATTTATATTTCATTGTTCAATTGTTTATTTCCCTGTTGTCAGACATTTTATTTTTATTGATAACATCTGTAACTGAATCCACATCTGTTTATGAAAAGACAACTATGTTCAAGTTGTCTGTTCATGAGATTTTCATCCTATTTTACAAGGTGTATTTCTTACCAAAACAAAACAAACGAGCAAACAAAAAATCAAGCTCTATCTATTTGCAATAGAAAAAGATATATTCTAATATGTGAAGGGAGCTAATATAAAGAACAAAAATATTGCTCTCCAAGCAGACTGCTGCAATACAAGTTCTCCTTCACATCATCATACAGTTTTGACAGAGGAAGGCAAATTTCAGCTGATCTTCCCTTCCCATTGCTCCAACTCAAAATAAGCCAGGACTCAACCTGGTCATTTTCATGTGGGAGAAAGGAAACTAATCATCTTTTGGATTATCAATCTTAATTTCCCAGCTCTTCTCCACTGGTATTTCTCAATATGCAAAGTTAATTATAACAATTTTGCAACATTTGTCTACACCAGTCACTCTTAATGAAGCAGATTTTCACTCCTGTGAAAGCCAAGATTTAGGGTCTTAAGGATGGGCTTAGCTTAACTGCTTCCAAAATTAGACATTCTCTTTAATTGATAACCCAAGGTTTCTCATGAAGCACTCATTGAATCTTTCATCCAAAGAATCTTAGGAAGGGATAAATTGTTATCAGCTGTGTCTACCTTTGTCTACTGAGTATTGAAGGAGAATTTAAATGATCATCTTAAGAGTTGACACCTAATACTTAGATATACAAAGATGAACTCAAGCACAAGAAGTACGTCAAAACTACTTAGAAGTTTTTTAAATTGTTATTTACAAATAGCATGAAAAAACTTCA